CCAGTATCTGATGGTGTTACTATTTCTGATGCTACTTCAATTTCTTCCGCTAATTCAAATTCAAATTCTCCGATTACTTCTTATCAAGTTACACTCGAAATAGGTGATGAGGTCTATGTTTTTGAGGAGCAGGGTGCATGGTATCGTGGCTATGTTGTTTCTCAATTACGTCAAACTGAGGAACCTCAAGTTTATGTTGGAATCTTTCCTATTAATCATGTTTATATTAAAGAATACCTTGATTATGTTGAATTACAAGCCGCTGAACTAAAAAGTAGTGATACCGCTTCTTCTATAAGTGAAAAAAACACTCGTCCTCCTCCACCTTTACCATCTCTTGAATGCGGTGATGACACGATCAGTGGTAAAACTGAACCACTGGTTGATGAGATAGCTAGTACCGTGAGAGAATGGAGTAGTTTATTGCCTAAATATTTGGATGAACGAAAATATTCAATGTTTAGAACTGTTAAAGATCAAATAAATGATTTATTACAAGGACGTAGGCAATTGCTTGCTCAAACTTTATCTCAAGATGAATTAAGTAAATTAAGGAAAGAACTTGTTAATAAACTTGTTGTTGGTAACTTGATTCAAGAGTTAGATATTATTGTAAGAGATCCAGAAAAAGGTTTCCTCGCTGACGAGACAAATATATCCGCTATTCGTCTTTATCAATTACAAGCTCAATTATCACTTTTAAACATGGATAAAGCTAAATCTGATTCTTTACTAATGAGTCCTACAATAGCGAGTCCTTTACAATCTTTATATAATCCCACCCCAACCGACTCAACCAGTCATGCTCCAAAATTTTATCACGTTTTTTTGGATTTAAAAGCTTGGGTTGCATCAATATCCTCTCCTGGTGAATTCACCGAACTTTATTTTTCTTTATATACAAAAGCTGATTCTCGATTTATAACTGAAGAATACTTTATTGTACTTAATCATAATGGTGTACCAAAGGATGAGGCCAAAATTGGAAAAATTAGGACTCTTTTTACTGATCTTTCGCATCATGATATTCAAGAGCAAATTTACTTACTTTGTAGAATCGTAAGAACTGGAAGTATGAAAATGATTGATAAAGATCTATCCAAAGAAACTGGTTCAATGTCATCATTGTTTTCCAAGACTTCAAAAGATTCGGATAATCCGGATCAAAGTTCACATGTTAGTACGAAATCCTCCCCGCAAACATTTCGCCGACCTTTTGGTTGTGCAGTTCTTGAAATTAGTCATCTCCTTCAAGGAAAAGAAAAAGAGACTTTTAGCGAACATGCAATGCAAATATATGTTCCTGTTCAAGAATCAACATTTGCTACTCTTCACGAAGATATAATTCATAGTCGTGTCAAAGAATACGAAAAATCCCCAAGAGCTGAAATGATTAGTGTTTCTATTCGTCCTTATTATGGAGAGACTGCTACTATCATAAAAGAAAATACTGCT